GAAACTAAGGGTCTAACCTTATACTAACCAGGTTACCCTTTGCCCATACAGATTCTTGCCCTGTTCCATTTTTTGTTTCACTCTTAAAAATGTTTTCTACTACAACAGCAAATGGACTACTGCAGGCCATCCTTCACAGCAGCACACTTCTCTCACCAGGCTTCCACTTCCCAATAATTCTTACTACTTCAGTTGATCTGCCTTCGGTTTCCCATCCATTGCTCCTTGTACTGATGCCGTCCTCTTATCAGCATCCCTACACTCGTACATTCCCTGCTGCTACTCTGACTCTTTATTAGTCAGTCCTGCTCTCTTCTGCATTGCTTTAGTAAACAGCAGGTAACAGGGAACAGCTAACATCTCCATTAATAGAAATTAACATATTCAAAAATAGATTTAAAAATTATCTCACTTAGAAGCAGGACATGCTTTAATATATTTTCATATCAGTGACAAAAAGGAGAGGACAGCATATAAAAAGGCTTAGTATGGTGATCAGAGGAGGATATTCAGGCATTTAGGAAACTTGCATGAAGTTCTGGAAACTTGCCCCTGCACCAGAAGCAAACCAGATCATATTCCTGTCTACTCCTGTTCCCCCATGTCACCCTCTTTGGTTGGGGAAAACTGTAAATCAAATTTGCTGGGGAAATTGTAATTCAATGTGGCAGATGAAAGCCTTATTAACTTATTTAATGCTAAACACTTAACTATATAGTTACACGAGTCAACATGTGAACTCCACAAGAGAACTTCAAACCAGTATGTTTCAGTTCCCTATTAGTTATGTGCTAAAACTATTTGACTGGATAACTTCAAGACTAAAGCCCAGCGGTGGGCTGCAAGACCACTTGGACTTAATACACCCAAATCCATCAAACACTTTCAGAAGATCCTGCAGCCAGGGCTGCAGAATTCAGCTGCCATAAGTTAGCCTACGTCTGAATAACACTGAAGACAGGAGGGAGGAATATTACATGGGCACACAGATGAATTCCTGAGGTTACGCTTCACTTCCCTGTGACTCTATATTAAGTTGTTAAGTCACACCAATTGCCTCATGCCCCAAACTCACCATCCAGCTTCTTCAGCTTGGGTACCCGTTTGGTTGCTTCTTCAATCCAATTGTTCTTCTGATCAGAGGCGTATTTCTCTTGCAGTGGATTGCCTACAAACACCAGATCCTCTAGTAATGGCAGCTCTGCCAGTCTCACAAACTCTGCTGCAACCACAAAGGCGAAAACACCAACCAGATTGTGGAACACAGAAAGTACCTCTGCACCAAACCTTCCTTTCAAACTCAGTGCAAACATAAACAGCATGGGATATAACAGGGTAGGGATTGCTTGGGCTTGAACACTGGTATCAGGTTAAAGAACAGGTATGCATTTTAAAAGAAGTCTGAGAAAGAACAAATACCTTTGGACTTAGATGTTAAATTCAATATTTAAGGGTATTGAAGGGTTTAGCACATCTGCAGACTTATCAGTGAGACTTAAAGCTCTGTAACACATACAGAACTATTTTTTACTTGGAGACTCCAAGAGAGAACTCTTGCATTCACCATACTACAGGAGAAGTTACAGAATAGAGAGGCGTGGCTTACCCCAGTCTTTCACCAAATTATTTGACATATAAAGAACCTTCAGCTTCTTCATTACACGGATACCCCTCAGTTTCTCAATGAAGTTGTATGAGATCCACAGCTCCTCTAAAGTATCTGCCACTGCCTCCTGGAAAACGACAGGACTACTCAGGTAAGCAGAAGTGTATCTTCCTTATTCTTCAGACACTCTCTTCACCCCCCAGAGGTCCCCTCACATGAGAAAATACTAAGTGTATATTGGTCCTCGTTTCCTTTTAAGCAGGTCCCTCATTATGCATGACAAATACTCATGGGAATTAAGAGCAAAGGATCTGAAATACATCTGAAATCACAGAATAAGACAAGGAATAGGTGGCTGGAGCAGTTGTTCTTAAGGCATAGGGGCAGAGGAGATAAATTTGGCTGCTTGTGCACTGCAAGGATACATGAAGTGAATGAAATTCAAGTACTTTAGAGGGGGTTTTACACAATATGAGGGAATGATTCATTTCAGGTACATGTATGTTTGTACCTATCAGCCAGAAGTTGCTTTCATAATTCTTTCAAAAAAGACGTTTTTTAAACCAGCCATTACACTTTGACTCTGCATTTCACACTTAAGAGATACGGCATCTCTGAAGGTGGGAATAGCTTTGAAGAGAAACATTCTGCAGGAGAAACATATAGGATCTCTTCAGGAAGAAAAGAATTTCTACATTCATTAAAAAAAAAAGTTGACTGAAAAAAAGTTCTTCTGCCCTTAAATCAAATGTAACAAAATTGATCCATTTTTGATCCATAAGTCTACCTGGTAGACTTAGTCCTGCCACCATCCTCTCCCCTAAAGCCGTATAGCTGCAGATGCCAGCTAACATAAAAAGGACAGACCCTCATGAAGCGCATGTTCACAGGACTGCCAATATATGTAGTAAAGAAGCATAGCCTAAGTATCTTCAGGTAGAAAACTCCTCCTACAAAAAGTCTGTAGGAATTATTTCCATGTAAAGCCAGCAGAATTTAAAGGGCTTTACAGACAGACAGCAGTTTTCAAATAAAAGTTCTGCTCATCTTTGTCAAAGGCAACAAAATCCCTCTTTCTAAAATCGTTTTATGTGGTAAATTAGCCCTGAAGAATCTCCAAACATGAAGAGAACAAAACAAAAGAGAAAGACTATCTGAAAATTCAGAAGCAATATAAATAGATCATAGCAAAAGGAGAAAAGAAATGGTTAGGCAACAATGTACATTCAGCAAAGACTTTTATGAACACAGGGGTATTATCCCACGTTCTAGACAGCTCTCCATTTTGTTAGTGAAGAATTGACACTGAGAAGCGCATACCAATCCATTCAAGTTCTTTATGTTATTTCTTCCCAAAGACAGTATCCTCAAATTTTCTGCAATAGATGAAAGAAAGTTTATTGTTAATAAATTGTGGTTGGGTTTTTTTAAATATAAGATGCTATAAGTCAGGTAAAATGCCATATTCTACTTACAACCAAACCGCACTCTGAACAGACTATCTTAAGAAGGAATGAAGTAACAGAAACAAAATCTCTTGACCTACAGAGATAATCAGGAATGGATGCAATGGACAGCTCAGAAACACATTCATGAATACAAAGCTACTCATGTGTACGTTACCTAGTTGAAATTCAGTCCAGACAAATACCGAACAAAAATGATTATTTCACCTTGCACCTGAGCTCTTAACTGCTAACTTGCTAGTTTTGATCTTACATAGTTCATACCCCTTCTTCTCAAGGCAAAAGTTGTTCCAATCTTATTTTAAGGCATCAGATTTGATTTCTGTAATAGAGACAGCATATAAAGCTTCCTTACAGAAGTCCAATGATGAGAGAAATTTCACCTTAGTCTAGCACCCACACAAAGCTCCTTTCCGAGTGAGCTGGGGTTTAGTGTAATACTAGTGTAACTCAAACCTACCACAAAATAGCAGTCTTTTTGTATAACTCATTTTCATTTTTTCACACAAGCCTTCTTGCAGGTGTAAATAAGCAAACTGAATTGTGGCATGTAGCTGGGTTAACTTTGGATCTATGCCTTTCATGAATGTTCTAACACTTCTTAACTGCGTTAAGGATGAAATCCTTAATGATCTTGTTTTGCTCTTTTATGCATAATTATTGAAAATACATGCTACAATAATCAATGGAAGACCAATGCAAGTTCCAGCCAAATAGCAACAGATCCTCCACAGAGCACGTGTAGTGGCTAGAGATTGCTACACCTGAAGATTCGAGGCCGATCTAGAATAGATGATAGTTGTATGTTCTGCCTCAAGAAATGCAGGGATGAAACCACACCTGATAAAACCACATCTGGCAAATATTCTAAAACAGGAAAATCAGTTTTCATTACAAAGTTGAGTTACAATGATGCTTCTTTTTCTTTTCAAACACAACAGCTTAATACATGACCATGCTCAAAAAATGAAGAGTCATAATGAGTAATTCTAAAGCCTGCTACTGCTAATATTCTCCAGAATATCCCTAAGGATCCCCATCCACAGGGGAGAGCGCTGGGAGGTGGCTTTTTGGTCTAGACAGCCATTCTCTCTGTAACTCACATTTATAAATTATAAGTTTGCACTAGGTTTTGAAATTTGTAAGAAATGAAAGGATACTTAGAAATACAAAAAATGACAGATTGCTTAAAAAGCCATGCCTTAAAATTATTTCTAACTGCTGTTACTAGTTTTTATTACTCTTCTTCTGAGATATTCTATATTTTAAAGGAAGAAAGACCTCCCTCATGGAACATTTACACTCTCTAAACCACAAACCTAATACTTGTTGCTGTCATCTAAAACATCTTCCTCACATGTATGGTTACAGGGTTGTGACCCTTTACACAGGATTATCTACTTGACATAACTACAATATCAGGTATGTACATTAATAGTAATCTTTTCTGTCTGAAAGGAGTATAGATGCTTAAAAAGATTTCTCAGCTTATTTTCTGCAACAAGCAAAAGCAAGTACGTAATAATTACTGGCTGTTTTTCATAGCTATAAGGACTGCTTCCTCTCTTTCTCACAGAAGCCAATAGAGGTGGTGAGTTCCTCATATTCTGTACTTTTAAGAGACAGACTACGTAGTTCTAGTTTGTCTAGCTTTAAGATCAAATATTTGGTACAGACTGGATGTTTCGATTCTATATTTTAATATAAATATTTAAAATGCTTTAAAGGCTTTTAATGTTTTATTCCACTACAAAATTTCATTGGTTGCACTTTTATATATAACTGCTTAATTATTTTTTGCTCATGATAGAGTCCCTCAAATTGAAATACTACAATACAGTTATTTGGAAAGACTACTGGAATATGTTTTTTCCCTGATTAGTACTTGCAAATTTGTTGGAGTCTGAGCATATTATGAAAACAAGTAAGTTCATCAAGCTCCTGGACAGCCCCATTGGTGTGTAGTTGGAGAGGATAGGATTCCAGGTTCCTTGTCTGCCCGTCTGGCAATTTGACGGGGACAGAAAACACTAGAAGCTCCAGCCCAAAACCTGCAGCTCTTTGCCAGCCTCATGCCACAGAGTCAAATTCTTGAGGACAGACTGTTAAGACTCCTGTCCCAAAGTCAGTAAACCAATGAGTTTCACGGTGTCATAGAAAGCTGCCATGAAATAAAAGTTCAGTTCCCTTCTAGACAGATAGCACGCCCCTTTCATGTATGAACAAAAGCAAACCAGGTATATCCAATCTTCTGCAAAGTAGAATGGCATTTTTCCATCCAAATCTACAACACTCCAACCTTACTCCAACCAATACCAAAATTACAGATTGTTGAACTGCAGACTGTCTTCATCATGAGCATAGAAATTGGTCATTAAATCACTCTAGAACTGATTAGGTTTTGAATATCACAACTCAGGCACACTGGAAGTTACACAGTTGCCTTCTTAATGGATTTTTTTAAAATTTGCACAGTGAGACAATTGCTAATGCACAGGAATACATGCTTTAATACACCATTATTGCTAAACATGCATTCTCCAGTAAGACTGATAATTTTAAAGGTCACTTGTAATTTTGTAAAAGGAAGGAATTAAAAAGGATAAGAACAGGTATAAAGCTGGACACATATAACAAACTATGGTGTATGTCCTATCCAGGCAACTAGAAAACAAACATAATCGATCACTGGCTTGTCACTTACTTAGGCTGTTCAAGTTGGCGATTCTTTCAATGCAGTTTGTAGACAGCGATAGTTTCCTTTAAAAGGAAGAATAATCAATTCACAGTATACAAGGGATCACTATATCAGAAGAGTTCCATGTCCAAACACCATTGCATTAGAAATAATTGTCTGTTCTTCTCTCATTAGATGACGAACTAACTGGATGTGTAAACAGATTCAAAATATCCTCAAACCGTCAAGACTTCTGCAACCTTATTTAGCTTCCGGGGAAGTACCGTGATTTACTTACATGGCATATCGGATTATCTTTTTATGCTTAGCCTTATCAAATGCATGGATGTTTATTTCTGAAATGGCTCTAATCTCTTTCTGAAAGTCCTGCTTAAGTCTCCCTTTTTTTTTTTTTTTCATAAATTTTGGAATGGATCATAAATGTGCCAGTTAGCTGATAGACTCCAAACATGGACCTGTAATTATATACCGATAAACAGTATATAATTTTTCTGGGGACAAATATCAATACAGAATCTACCCTAACATCTTCTCAGTTAAGTGTCAGGGATCTTTGAATTAAAAAGAGGAACTGTGTGTGCAAAGGGAAGCTCAGCAGACAAAAGAGAAGAGAAAGCTGCTGCTTTGAAGGCCCCACTTAAACATAGTAAATACGTATTTGCACAGTGGACAGCAAAAAACCTGAAAACTAATATAAAGAGAAAAGAATATTTGGTTTCCAATTTGTTTTTAACGGAACTTACTCGCAGTTAACAAGCGTGGAGAGAGATTCATCCATCCTCTCTACAGGAGGAATCTGACCATACAGCTTCACCTCCTTTGCCTCTGAAGCCTTCTGGCCATTTTTTTCTTCCTAAAGAAAAAAAGCGGTGAAGAAGAGGCTCACTGCTACATGCAATTACTAAAAATTACTATACTAAAAAATTAAAAGTAATTACTATAGAAATAATTCCAATACACTACTAATAGATATTACTGACAAGAGAGAGCATTTTGAATATGGTTTATCAAGACTCCTGCTGGCGTAGCAAGAAGAGGGGAAGGCTAGCTTATTTTCAAGACATCAAAAGAACTTATACATTACATACACTTTTTTTAAAAGTTGTGTTACACTTGAGCAATTTAATTAAGGGGTCCTCTGCCATAAAGAAATGGAGAATAGATGGAGGTTTGAAATTCTGAATGAGGGTAGCTCCATGGAGACTGGCCCTTGTTGAGGCTCCTATATGTCAATCTGTAGCAGAAGCCAGTTCTTAAAAGCTCTGACAGAAACAGCTCCTTCCTACTTCACCCAGAAAACTCAGAACTCATGACTAAGTCACAACACAAACTGAACACAGGGGAGTGCATTTTGGGGGAGAACCTCAATAGATTCACAGAGTTAAGAATCTAAAAAAAACCCCAATAAATTCTAATAAGCCATTAAAAAAGAGCAGAGGAAGATCTCACACTTTAGAGAATACCATAAAAGACAAATTTCCTATTTACAACCTAGGCTGATAATTTTCTAGATTAAATACTATAAAGTTCAGAGCTTTAGAAAAACAGCCATAACTTCAGCATTCGGGTTTATTAAAAAATATAGTCTATTAATAATCTTTTGAAATTCTGAAGTGATGGTAATTATTGACTAAACACTTGGAACAAGTATCTGTTTAGGTAGTACCACCAGTTTTGACAGCTGCCTCCCTGACAGCACAAAGGGAGCATTTTGTCAATTCACTCAGTGTTCAGTGGGAGGACTGGAGGTCCATTAACAAAGGAGAAATCTACTTGGCGCTTTCAAAACAAGGACTCTTGTTTCCTCCCCCATTTTTATGCAGCTACTGAAAAGTGAGATATCTGAGGTCTGGCCTAGTTTATATGGCTACTTTGTAATGAAATAAATTGCATCCCAGAATTCTTTAAGAATCCCACAGCACAAGATCAGGTTTTGAAAACATTATTTTCTCTCTTATGTACCCAAAATGCTTCAGGCAACTTAAAAAAATAGCATGTTACCTTGTGCATTTACTAATATTTCGGTTGCTGTCTGAATTCAGTGGGATAATATTTTTTACTCATAATTAGTGATTTGGCAAATAAGCATGTCAGATATTTTGCTAGAACATATTGAATGTGTTCAAATTAACTCACTATATAAATGTGAAACTTCTGTTTTCTTTTCGAAGAACAACACTATATCTGTTTGCATTTATACTCAGTTTATAATTCTCAGTTTATGCCAACAAATAAAAAGACATCTTTTCTTAAAAACATGAAAGGGAGAGCCCTTCCAACACAGACTGTGGCTGGCAGTGAACACTTGCAGGAAGAAAATTCATCCCGATTGCCATGCACTTCTGGAAGAAAGGTCAGCTGAACGACCACAATAAGCTACAGAGAAACCACAGGCAGAACAGACACTTTTTTAACAAGAAGTTACGTATTTGCTAAGTTAAAGTTGCTCTGATTTAACTCTAGTCACCCTGACTGTAGGGCATAGGTAAACCCTTATGCCAAAGGGAAAAAAAACATCTGGAATGCAACACACCACCAGATCCAATTTTACAAGTCACATGGACCCAGATAAGGAGTAGTAAAAAGAAGATTTAGACCCATCCCCAATAACATGAACAAGAAAGCAAATTCAGCACTTCATGCCTAACATTAATGGAAACTCACCGACACAGGTCAATTATCTCTAAGAGACATGTGACAGCAGAGCAAATGGAAAATAAATCTTTAATAGGAAACACAGAGTTGAGGTTTTGGACCGCAGAAAGACTGAGGGAGGAAAAGCAGAATTTTTTAATATGCAGTTCACACCTCTAGTAATGCTAATATCCACAAGTTCTAATGCTTATTAGGTGAGCAGCAGTGAGGTTTGGGGGATATACCAACATAACAGAAGAAACACTGAAATACTGAAGGTACTAAACGACGATAAAATTCAGAAAGGCAGTAGTCTTCAACTACAGACTAGTACCTTGAGCTGATGGTACAGATACTCTGGCTTTCAGCTGTACCTGCCCACACTGCTTCACATCCAGATCTTCTAGATGAAAACACTTATAAACTCTTGCTCTAGCAGCTGCCCAGAATTAGCAGGAGAGTGCTTGTATACTGAACAGCACACCTGTGCCCTAATCTAAAATTCACTGAGACTGGGGAAAGATTCTCACTGTTTTTACTGGACTGTGCACCTGACCCCAGAGCATCTTATATCATCATTTGAAATTACATGTGCATCCTTGCCAACACACAGCTTTCTAGAAGGCTCCAAGACCGGGACAGTCACTGCCCCAAATGACTGTCTGTATTAACACAGTGCTTTAAGAAGAAAAACAAGCAAGAAAGTCATTCTGAGTTAAGCCTTGCATGATATGATGCACAATATGTTAAAAGACAATAGCAAAGTTTCACTGACTTCAGTACAGTCAGAATTACGTATTTGTTTATTCTGTGGGAAGGATGACACTGAGGTAAAATGAACAGAGCATAATTAAAACATAAGACATCCCCAACCTTAAATCTCTTTGTAACCTCAGGCCTTCTATCAATGCATATTCCGCAGAACAAGGCAGGAGAGCAAAACAGACTCATCTTTACCAGCCGTGTCAATTTAACAAGAACACACGGAAAGTCCAACAGAATGCATTACACATCAATAACAATAATAAAATTTTTACTTTGTGAAACTTCTTATAGCAAATGTTTCAAGCAAACATATTTCTTACAATAAGTTTAAAAAAAAATTTAGCTGAATACAGTCAAAACCCATGCCACAGAGTACTGCAAAGCAGCTAGATTCTGTTCTAGTACTTACCCATTTGGCTAGAGCTTCTTTGATAGTTGTTGCTTTTGCCTAAAAACGAAAGAAATTTAAATGAATATTCATTGCAAATTTTTAGTTGGCTTGTTGACTGCAAACCTATCTCCTCCTCTCCCTTCTCTCTCCCTACCCTGCCTGCCTACCCCCTTCTACCACTTTCCTGGATTATTTTCCTCCAGCTGAGTCTAAGAAGATAGAATGCCTCAGTGTCCTGTAATTTTATTTTCTGGGGTATTTGGTAGCATTTTCAGAAGAAAACAATTGACTTCGCCTGAGCACATTACCTTCCTGATCTTATTCTCTGCCCTGTGTGGAGCACAGGTTTGGGATGCTGCTTGTTAGCTTTGATGGTGAAATTCAACTCAATTCAATTAGTTCAATTCAATTCAAAGACATAAGAAGTTACTGCACTGAAAAATGTGATCTAATGCTCTTAAGCCCCCACGCTTTCTATTATTATGCATTAGCAACTTCCTGTCGGAAAGCAAGTCTGTAAGTAGACAGAATGATACAGCCTCTTAACATTCACAAATGTTAAGACATTCACAAATGAAATAAGGTACATCTCGCCAAAAATGAAGAGCAAAAAGAAAAAATACTTGGTTTTCTTCAATTGTTTTATGTCATGTCACATCATGCAATGTGAAAATACGTATTATTCAATTAGGAAAAATCTGAGAGCTGCTGTACAAGGCTTTTTAAGGACTGACGCACTGACAAACTTTCTGTTGTCACTAACTCCAACTTTTCTGCCACACATCAGAGTTTTATCAAAACCAAGTGATGATATCCAAAACAGCAGTATATAGAGAAATTTTGATATATCCTAAACATTAAACATTCCAAGATGTCTTTCAGATTAAAAAGGTTCCAGAGACCAATCTTTCACAAAAACTGATCAACAGCTTCCTTTCTACAAAAACAGGAGGACTCTCGTTTGGGCATCTCTATTGCTCGTCAGTGTAGTGCTACCATATGTGGATAGAAGCAGCCTTTCAGGTAAGCAGATATCAAAAAAACAACTATACAAGTTAAAACCAACATACTAACTTCCACCCAAAATCTTACAGGCAATCAACTCTGCCACAGAACTTTAGTTCTGGGTACTTTATTCTAGACCCCTGGAGTCCCACCTGGGCCCCCAGGTTCCAGACCCCTGGAAACTCTGGAGCCGGTGGTGAAAGACATCAGTTGAGGCAGCTGCATGTTATGGTAACCAATCGTTACGACATTTGGGTACATGATCTCAGTTGCTCACGTCGAAGACAGAAACGGATTTATATGACCAGTACCTACTTCTGTTTCAAACTCATGCCTAAAACAGGATTGGATTTTAAAGCTAGTGATCTATATGAGCACAAGGAGCAGCTTCTTCCCTGACCCCTGCTGACTCTTCTCTCCCATTGTAACATCTGATTTGGTGGAAATATGAAAATCAGCATAGTGGGTTATCAAGAGAACATATATCAGGGATTTTATTTTGTTCTTTGAAGTGCATTCGAAATTTCTGTAGACAAATCATGGTATCTTCTGCCAAGGGAGGTTACTTACGGGAAACCTCCCTCTGCGAAGCCTATTTTCAGAGTTCCTCTACCTGCATATTGAATAATTTCCTAGATTAAAGAAAAGTCATATTACTTATTCAAAACGCTAAGTGATCAAAAGCTGAAATTGTCACCCTGAAGAGCCACCATCAACACTGCAGGAACAAGAAACATAATACCTTAAGGCGAAAAAAAAACCCATCCCAGTACATATAAAAGCTGTAGCAAAAGAAGTATTTTTGCCCCCCAAAATATGGCTGATGGACACAGAGTATTTAAAAAATTCAGACCCCCCAAGTAAAACAGTGACGCTTTACCTTCATTTGCAAACATTTATTTATACGTTAAATAGAGCAAGTCAGAATTGCACAGCAACAGACACCAGGCTAATCACTGTAGTAATTGTGGATACTGCATCCGTAAAAACACATAGTACCTCAGGTTTTTATATGATGGCATCCCAGACTCCCCACTACTTTGATCTATCCCCGAAATCCCCCTTTCCCAAGGCACGGTAACAGGCCAGAACTGCCTCCCCTCAGCCAAGGCGCCGAGCACTCAGCTGCTTTCTGGCCAGCTCACGCCGTGCCCAGGCTGCTCGGGCCAGAGACCAGCTGGGAGAAGCCCCGGGCCGCGAAGAGCTCCGCTCCGCGATGCCGCTCACGCCGCACCGGGGCGGCGGCACTGCCACAGCCGGTCCCCGAGCA